GCACCAAAGGAGAATGTCTCTTGGTAATCAAAGCCTTATCGTTGAGTAAAGCCATTCACAACTAACCGAGCTTTATAACATTCAACCGATCCATCAGCATGATGTTTGATTTTATAAACCCATTTACAATCAATAGGTTTCCGGTGAGGTGGACAAGGCACCAAGTCCCAAGTATTATTCTGAGCAAGAGTTGTAAGTTCATCTGCAATGGCTTGCTGCTAGTGAGGATGGTGAACAACTTTAGAATAAGTGGATGGTTCATGATTGGCAGAAATCTGATGAACACATACCCTGTGGGCAAGAGATAGACGATCATAATTGACATATTTAAAGGTCGGGTAAGGAGTACCTTATAGAGCCAATGTGGTGAAACAAATGTAATCTGTCATCCAGATATGAGATTGGGTGATACAGGTGGACCATCGTTGAGAAGGCCCAAAAGCTGGTGAGGGAGATACTGGAGGCCTTGATGGTGGTATGGGAGATACCGGAGGCCCTGTTAATGATACTGGAAGATATGTAGGTGAAGTGTCAATACTTTGTGTTGTTTCTACCGATGGAGAATCAGGGATAAAACTAGCAGGTGTGTATACATTTGATGAGAGGTTGATGTCATTGGCAGGTAGCATTGTAAAAAGAGAACTTGTCGGCCCATCTCCAAAAAATTGGTTGACTATTGAGGAGGGAAGCTTGCACTTGCTTCATTATTGAGAAAAAGGAAACTATCTTCTTAAAATACAACATCTCGAGAAACCATAAATTTGTTTGTAGTTGGATCATAAAGATGATAATTATTCTAGAGCATTGGACATCTCATGAAAATGCATCGAGTGGCCCGATGTCCGAATCATTGACCCAATAATGGTAGAGTAACAAAGAGAGCCAAATACTCGTAGATGATTGTTGTTAGGTGTTTTGATGAATAACATTTCATATGAAGTCTTACCACCAAGTATCCGGGTTGGCATGTGATTGATCAGGTAAGTGGCTCTAATAACACAGTCACCCCAAAATTGAACAAGAATGTTGGCTTGGTGTTTAAAGGCACGGGCTACTTCTAATAGGTGTCGGTGTTTTCTCTCAACTACCCTGTTTTGTTAAGGTGTATAGGTGCAAGAACTCTCATAAAGAATTCCAAAAAAGGGAAAAAGAGTTGAGCATTGATGGTTAAAGAAGTCACGAGCATTATATGTCCAGACACATTGGACAAATGAATGGAACTGATTGGTGACCAAAGTTAAGAAATTTTTAATAGTGAAAGTTTGGGCTTTTGACTGCATAAGAAAGACCCATGTGTCACCGAAGAAATCATCTACAATTGTAAGAAAAAATCTGGATCTATCATGGTTAGGAGTGTGGTAAAGACCTCAAATGTCTAGGTGGGTTAGGGAAAAAGTTGTGTAGTAGAGAATGTGCTATGTGTGAATGTTATACGGGATTGTTTTGCTAAAGGGCATATTGGACATTTGGGTTGAGGGATTGACGCACTATGACCCAGTCTTTAATGGAGAATGAAAGTATTTTTGTTGATATTTGTATTTCAATGAACAGTTTTATCTGTAATACAAGATGACAAACTTTGAAATTTATTAGAAAAATTATCAGAAGTCTAATAGTATAAACCATTATTAACTCTACACAAGCCCATCAATGTCCTAATTGAAAGGTCTTAAAATTCACATGTGTTAGAAAGGAATTTTAAGAGGCAATTATTATCAATGCAAATTTTGGAGACAAAGATAAGATTAAAATGGAAGGCATGAACAAAAAAAAACATTCTTGAAAATTAATTTTTCGGTGAGAGGAACTGTTCCTATGTTGGTGGCTGGGGTGATATTCTTGTTTGGCATACGAACGAATATAGATGATGCAGTGGTTTTATGAGAGAAAAATGTTGGGTTGCAAATAATATGATAACCAACCCTTGAATCAATAATTCAAACATAATCTTTAATAAAATTCAAGCAAAAATATGTACCTGCATAAGATACGATAGATGTGGATAAGATTTGGTTCATCATCTGAAGGAACCATCTGAAGGAGTTGATTGTATTGTGTTATACTAATAAGTGGTGATTAGACTTGATTTCCAGCAAGAATGGTGGTAACTTGATGAACGGTTGAATTTCCACTTTTGTCCGAAATGCCCATGTAATTTTTAGCAATGATCCTGAGTATGGTTCCGTCTTTACAATATTCACAAAACAATTTTGGTTTACTTGTTTTGGAAGATCTATACCCATTGGACCAATTTGAACCATTAGCCCAAGTTGACTTGTTTGACCCTATGTGTGATGTAGTGGCATGAGGACCTTGCAATTGATAAGTCAATTTCTGGCCATTGGATGAAAGAATTGAATCTTGGCCCTTCATGCCTTCATATATAAACCTATCTTTCTCATTTTGCAAAAAACTTAGCTGTTCCACACTTTTTTCCTCTCCAATCAATGGCACAAACTTCTTCTTCTCACCCAAAAAAGTGAAGGCCTCTCTTGATTTTGCACCATCTATGTCAAGCCACCGTTGGCTCTCCTCTTGGACAGCCAACTGAAAAGTGCAGTGAAAGGTTGGCAACAACAATGTGGCTAGGATTTGGGTGTGAAATGAGAGGAATGATTCGTTGAGCCCAAGGAGAAATCGACTAAGCCTCTTCTGATCTCGAATTCTTTGGTATTGCACAAGGTTTGTTGGCGGCCCATCAAGAGTTTCTTTAACCGCATCTAACTCATTCCATATGGCATAAAGGGTGTTGAAATAGGTTGTTACGGTGGAGTTGCCTTGGTGGATGTTGGCAAGTTGTTGGCAAAGGGTGAAAACTTTTGCTAGATCAAGCTTCCCATGCATCTCTTTAATGTGTGTCCACATCTTAGCCGTTATTTCCAACAGAGGCAAACAGGCCGCCACTTTGGACATTAAACAATTTCCAATGCAGGATCTTACTAACATATTACATCTCTTCCAGTAATGGTAGAGATGTGATTCAATCCATGGTGGTGGAATCGAGCCATCAATGAATCCCTCTTTATCTTTTGTTATGATAGCTCATCGGAAATCGCGAGCTCAAATAGCATAATTATCAAATCTGGTCAAGGGCTATTTGAGGAGAGCGATTTCCGGTCCATCAGAAACCAGTGCATACAAGGTGTAGCCTGGTTCAAGGTGGCAGTTGTTGGTTCGTAGAATCTGGAAATTGAATGGTTGGTTTGGGTAGGGATTTTGACCTAGATCATAACCCGAAAACCCAAATGGGTTGGATTGATTTGTTGGGTTTAGGTCGGTTTGTATTGTTGGAATTGGGCTAGTCTGAGTTGTTGAGGTTGGGCCGATTTGTATTGTTGGTATTGGGCCAGTCTGAGTTATTGAGGTTGGGTTGGTTTGTATTGTTGGCATTAGGCCAGTCTGAGTTATTGAGGTTGGGCTAGTTTGTATTGCTAGTGTTGGGCCAGTTTGAGTTGTTGGGTTTGGGACGGCTTGATTTGTTGGGTTTGGGCTAGTTGGATTTGCTAGATCTGGACTGGTATGATCTATTTGGTTTGGGTTAATGTTAGTGTCATCAAGGGTGGCTATGGGTTTTGTGATTGGGATGTTTGCCATCTGTTTGACGAAATAGGATAGAAGAAAATAAAATTATGAGGAGAACTAACAAGTATCTATTTGCAATGCAAGGATAGAAAAAAGATGTTAGCTGAGTGAAAGCTGTGTTTATGAAGATCACTTTGATACCATATCAGAACTTGAGTTGGCAAGAGAAGCAGAAAAAGGAAATGAGAATGCCAAGAAAGAAGAGAATGGCAGAAAGACTTCTATACTTTTGTATATTGTATATTCTTTGCATATTGCTTCAATCTATACATAAAATGTAAGCATAAGGATGGAAATGTAATAAAGTCTAATTACACAAATTATGAAGGATTGATTTGAGATGATTATGCCAAGAATCAAGGCTGGAGTCAAGGCATAATCATAAGATGTAATGAAGGCTGTGATCAAGCCATAACCACATCATTCTATTTCATCACAGTCAACTGTCAATCAATTCAAATCTCCTTATTTTTCAATTATTAGATATAATAGAAATGGTCAATTAGATTCTTATATATGTAATTTTAGAGTTAAAATTCATCCCTAAGGTATAATATAATAACAAAATCATCTTGACGTTTCTGAAATAACAGAAATCCCCCTACTGTAAAGTTTTAAATGTTAAAATAAAAGATAGAAAGGCAATTTGGTAATATTTAATAACTCATAAGGCTTACTAACAATTCATTAACGATATGAGGATTTAACCACCACTGGGTGACCGGTGGTTAAGTAGTCATTTAAGACTCCTAAGTGTATTACTCAAGAGATTCTGAGTTTGATTCATCTCAGTTCCTAATAAAAGTGGTCACTAAAGCTCTTATTTGATCGGTAATTCTAAGATCTTGAAGGATTAGTTGAAGTGCGTATAAGGCACAAGTTGGCCCGGACACTCTCGGCTGTCTACAAATTAAAAAATGATAAGAGGATTGTTATTTTGGAAAATTTTTGTTATTATATCGTATTTTAAGAGATTAATGTCGTTAAACTGTAATTTTATTATAATATTATTGGACTGAACATAAAGTATTATTTAAATACAGACATGAATATATACTTATATAGTATCCCAAGAATGGTCCACTACAATGAGTCTGACCACTTTCGGGTGTCATAAAAAGGCACCAAACCCAATTTGTTTATATTTCTTCAGGACCTGAAGAACTATGGGTTAAAGATCCTTTCATCCACATGGTCCACTCCTCCTAATTCAACTCCAAAAAAAAAAAAAAAAAAAAATATATATATATATATATATGCTTTTTGGTCAAAAAACCAAGCTTCTGTTATGACCTTTTAACTCATCACTCATATCAAGTATCAACCCAGTTTGGAGGACCTCCTCTAAGAAGATAAAAGAGTATATCTTAACCGTCAATCACATATATGCAACAAAACAAAGTAACTATAAGCTTTTAATTATTTTTTATTAGTATCAAATACTCCAATACAAAGAAGTAAAATACATACGTCAACCAGATCAAGTAGAAACTATACGATAATTATATATCCAGCTGCTTTCCCTTTCAACACTACCATTTACTCTAAGATAATTACATGTATAAATTAATGACACCTTTTTTATATTGTTTATCGGTTGATGAACGCCTTGACATGAGACATCATTTCTTGTATTCGGATTTGAGAGAACGGAGAATTGTGCAGAATTTGAAATGCATGTCCAACTCCTTTGTACATCACTGTTTCTACCTTCTTGCCGGCGCCCGCCAACGCGTTGCAGAACTCCAAGTTCCTGTCCTTAAGTATATCCATTTCTGATATACACACCATCACTGATGGAAGTCTCAGTTCCTGCAACCTCGCCGCACCATTTGCTAGAGGATTGCACCATGGATTGTCTCTATTAGCCCCTAACGGTAGTGACAACCGCCAATATGTATCCGAAGCTGATAGCGTCAGAGCAGAATTAACCGGTTGAGTCATGTGTTTTTCGGACGCCGTTCTCGACTCTCCTCCAAAGAAAGGTTGCATCAATATGCTACCCCTGAGACACAATGGCTTAATCATGTTGCTATTGAATGCGCCACTGGATCCCAACCTCGTGGCCACATTGTAAGCAATATTGGCACCAGCACTATCACCAGAAAGGAACAAGCTGGAGAAATTGCACTGGTTTATCCACCACTTGTGCTCACTGGACCCATTTAAAGCCTGCTGTTTCACCCACATAAGGGTGTTGACGCCATCGTCATATGCGGCGGGGAGACGATTTTCCGGGGCTAGACGGTAGTTCACGGACAAAATCACACACCCTGCTTTGGAAGCAAGATTGACTAGGAACTCATGGTAACAACTCCAAGCAGCTGAGCCAATGCAAAATCCACCACCATGGAAGTAAACAAGCAAAGGCAGCTTGCCTGCAGGGCAGCTCGGAACATAAATCCGCGCCCATAAGTTCGAGTACTTATCGATGAAAACATCTTTCGCCGCAACTCGAGCATCTAATGCCGCGGTGCAGGGGACAATAGGGATGGCTAGAGGCCTCTCGACATGACCATCTTTGTAGACTCTAAGGAATCCTTCAATTTCTTCAATAACAACTCCACGGTTGTTCTTGCCTACTTGAAGCTGGTTGAGCCTTGGATCAGTAAAAACTGCAGCCATTTTCTTTTTACTTCTCATTCAACAATGGAAAGGAATGGTTTAGAAGTATGGTTATGATGATGTTCTAAGGTCTCCTTATATAGAAGAATTACAAGATTCAAAGAGAAGAAAGAAAAATTCTCAAGGTGGAGGAGGAAGCTTCCTCTTCTTTTTCATCTGACAAGTGGACAACTGAAGTCACCAAATAGCATCATACGGATTCTCTTAAGTCTGATAATTTTTTTCTACAACTCACTGTGTAGAATAGTTGAGAAGAAATAGCTATATTAACTTTGGTAAGATTAAATTTTTGACGATTGGATATGATTCGACAACGACTTATGAAGAGTTGACTTGTAATAAGCCACTTGTATCATGAATAAGTTTTTAAGAGTCAGAAAAATCGTCGTTGAAAATGATATTTAGGAATAAATACAAAATCAACTATTAGAAACTTATTGACTTTTTCATTTTCCAACTTCCTCTTTTTCGTTGAAATTTTCTTTCTAAAGAGCAAAAGCATAACACTTTGAGAGAATAATGAGATTATATTTCCACATTATTCATATTAATGTTCTATTTCTCTTTTTGTTAAAGAATACTCTAGATGCTTGATTTTATAAAAAAGGGAGAAGGAAGAAACAAATAAGTCATGTACATTCATCTTTGTGAATGTGAGAAAGGAGATATATCAATATTATTCTAGTACATAGGTGTTGGAGTTGTCAACCATCTCAACAATAACAGGCCACGCAAACGCATTCAACGGTTTAGGCCTATTCCGTGAAAAGCTGTTATAGGATTTCTCTAAATTATTAATTCCTCATTGAATTTGGGCTTAGGAAAAGAGATCCTTATAATACAAGATTTTAGTCTTTAAACCTAGTATATAAACGTATTATTCTCTTATATGAGTATGATAACAAATCATAGGGTAAACTACATTCATTGTAACGAAAGAGCTGAGACAGTATACTCTACTGGACGTAGCTTGTTAATTGGGTGAACCAAAATAAATTGCGTGTATTATTCTTTCTCTTTACTTATGTGTGTTTACTGATTTTAGTTTTGTATTACTCTAGATTGTTCCCATAGGTATTTGCGTTGTAGGCAAAACATTAATTTCTGAGTGTAAACGTTATGAAATTTTTAACTTCCAGACTAAAGTTAAGCATCCAGTTGCTAACTTCTCAAAGCCTAAATCAAAAGCTAGCTACCGACGCTCATCTATAATCTGCATGTTAAGAAATTTCAGAATATCCACACCTGTTGAGAATTTGTGCGTGTATATATATGTATCTATCAAATTGTTGCTGTCGATTTGAGTGGATAATTAACGTTTATGCAAATGGACAGTCAACTTTAATTTATTCCTCATATATATCATCCTATCTTCTATCTTTTGCTTTTTGATTCCCTTGTGCAGTCTCTTGCTGTTATCTTTTAATCCATTAATGCTTCTCACAGCTACTATTTCAACAAGATAACATTTCAGATAGGTTTCGCATTTTGTTGAATGCTGTAGCTTGAACTTTATTCACAACTTTACGTCGTTCCGACCCAATTTGGTTTCGCTTTCTTGATTTGAGTTTTATCTGAATATAATCAAATTGTGATAATTGATCATAGTGTCCATAATTAGCCAAAATCCGATCACTTTTCTTTTATTCTTCATGGGATATGGATCAAAACTATTTTAGATATAACCATTGAGATGAACCAGAATCCAGAAATTGAAATACATTAAAATGAAGGTGATAAAAAAGGGAGAGAAAACAGGCACGTGAAGAATGGGTTAAAATAACTACTGTTGGAGTCCCATACTGACTAGACGCGCTCAAACCTACTGGTTTATAAAAGATGGCAATATTCTTATTCAACAAGATTTTATTGAGTGGGGAGTCAAGTCTACCTCAAATTCTATCATGGTATTAGAGCTCAGGTTCAATTGCGTTTAGTGTTTGACTAGTGGTGGAGGAGTTAAAGTCAGTAATTACCTCCAATAACAGGCATGACCCAGTAATCCTCTCATTCAACAAGCAACAAGCTTGACCGCCCACTCAAGCCTACTGGTTTATAAGAGAGGTTAATCCTCTTATTCAACAAATGGGTGCGTAAACTGACATGAACACTCCTAGTCAACAGATCAAAAAAAACAAAAAACAAAAGAAAACAAAAAACAAAAGAGAATGGGTTAAGATTTTGTTCTTTGTACTTGGTTGCCCTTAGAATCTTTTACCTTCCGTCCATCTTGTGGCCCAATGATATTTCATTCTAGATTCTTCAAAGAAGCATTTTCTCATGATAAAGTTTTCTTTATATTTTGTTCTTTTTCTGTAATTTTGTCGACTGAATTTGGAAAAAAAAAAAAAAAAGAGAAATTAAGTTGATTATATGCACCATTGATGAACATTAAGTTAACAGAAAAGGCAATTAAGGTATATTTGCTTTCTGGTAAGGGTGATTGTCGGTTTAAAACAATGAATTTATTTTGTTAATGAATCGTTTCATAGAATTTTCAATTGGATTCAATGCGATCTTACTTTGAAATTGAGTTAAATTGGACTAGATGAATTAATTAAATAAGTTGCTGCTTTATTCTAGGTGAATTTTCATCCAATTCAATGCTCCGGAATATATTTTTGCAACATGGGTAATACTAGTTCTAAATTTATATAAGAATCACCCTTGTGGTCGGGTGAAGCAATAAGAACTCTTGGATATATTATTTAAAGACTTGAGTTTGATTCCCTTCAATTATTAATAGAGGTAATCATTGAATTTGATTCTCCTTCGATTGCTAATAGAGGTGACTAGTAAAGGGTTTACGCATTCGTTAACTTCAAGGTTTCGAGAGATTAGTCGAAGGATGCATAAACTGGTCTGAACACCCTCTGTTAAAAAAAAAAAAAAAAAATTAAATTATATGTTAAACATTCGGGCAATATTCCTAATCGTAGAACTAAAAATTTTAAGTACAATGAATTTACACTAAGGTATTTGGTAATCTAGAAAGACAGTATGAAAAGCACCATAAAAAAAGGGAAAGAGAACATTTAAAACGAGTCAAACGTTTATCTTTGCCATCATAACACCTTACGTAAATACATATGATAAGATACAAAATTATATCTCGCCGTGGTACAGCAATAAATTAGATTCGACAAGTATATTGTCACGAGATTCGAATATATTCAGACCTAAATTTGAACGAAATATTAAAGTATTTTGACGAAAATTAATTATAATCCAAATTTAGAATATGGGAAAGTTGTGGCATGCATGAAGGGAGGAAAATAAATCCCTATAAAAAATGAAGCTTTTTTCTACCTTTCCACAGACATTTTGTCAAAGTTCTTATTGATTCATGTTCTATTTTTCTGGCCATTTTTATGAGTTGAACCATTACCTCATTTCTCAACTCTTTTATGTCTTATCACTTTGTTAATAAAATTATTTATGGCTGGAAGTGGAATATGAATACAATTATTATCATTTTTAAAATGTTTTTTTTTTTCTTTGACAGAAAAGGCTTCTCTATAAAATGTTTATTTTTCAATCACTTGATTAATTATTAATTTTTATTTTTTTATGATTATGGTGTTTGGGTCGGTGTACTTTTTGAGTAATACACCCAAAAATCTTTATCGAACCTCTCGGCCACCCAAAGATAGTTTAAATGTTTTTTAAAAAAAAATCATTTTAAATGTTCCTTTGTCTTAAAAAAACGAATTTATAAACTTTAATTAACACACAAAAATAAAGTGCTTTTAACTATTTGGAGGTGCTCTTGACAATGTGAAAAGTACTTTCAAACATCGGTGTGGACTCATTAACTAATAAGTAATAACTAGTTTTTGGCTAAAAAAAATTAAGGGTTTGTTTGTTACGACTTCTTCGCATATAACTTATGAAAGAAGAATTTATTAAAATAGTGTTTCTATGAAAATTATGATATTTTTAGCTAAAAAAAATGTAAAAGAGATTTATGGTCCTAAATTACCAAAACAGACTTTAAATATACTAGAAATGATAATATATATATGAAAAATATGATATTGTTTAGGCTAATTGATTCGTTTGGTCCTAACCCAGGGTTTGTCCTAAGATAGGATGACCGTTTTGTTCTAGTCTCCTTGTACATTTTTTTTTTATTCATGCATACTTACTTACCAAAAAAAAAAAGGATAAAAACAAAATCTTTTTGGATATTTTTTTGTTGGGATTGTGCCTTGAATCCCATATTGATTGGGAATGAGAGTTGCAAAAAAGTATCTCAACAAATGTAAAATAGACACCAAAAGAATAGTTATTGTGGGCTATTATTAAGGGTGTAATTGGATTTTTTGGGATATTGTAAGGAGTTTGCAATTTTTCTCTTCTAAAAATTGCATAGTTATAAGCTTTTGTATAGTGGATTGTTTGAGTGGATAGTGGACATAGGCTAAATTGTGTGGGCCGAACCACTTTAAAATCTTGTGTTTGTTCACTTTATTTTTAGTTGCTTGCTTTAATTTTGCATTTGAGTTGTGGGAATTATTTTCAACAAATGGTATCAGAGCCCACGGTTCATGATCTGGGAGAAGGCAAGCAAAGAGAAGGCAAGCTCGAGAGGAGGTTGAATTTAAGAGTAGATCAGCGACTGTCAAGCATCTCAAATCTTCTAGAGGTATGTCTAAGTTTGAGGTTCTAGTGGGTGTCAAATCCAACAAATAATAAAATTCTCACTCTTAAAAAAAAATATAAATTGTAACAGTGATGAGCAAGGTCGTATCCACAGAGATTTGGTAGATTTATTTTAATGAAAATTAAAGCAAAGAAAAAGGGGGGTTTTGAGATTTTGAAGTGAAAGAAAAGAAAGCAATTATAATCAACTAAAAATTAAGGAGAAATCAATATCAGGCAAATATCCAACCAAAGGTATAATTTCAGAATTGGTTCAGAGAATTGATCACATATACAAGGATAAAATCTTCTATTCTTCACTAAATTGGTTATGGTTATTAACAAGCTCTAACAACCTATCTCTCCTTACTTTCTCGATAACCAAAACAAGCTTTGATTACTTCCCTGTTAATAAACAACCCTAGACAGGCTCTTAGGATTTAATCTATCGACAACATTAATAATTAGAGAGACTACCAATTCTAGCCAACAAATACACAAGCTCGATTCATTTAAACTAGATTATATATCTTCATAACATAAATCGAAAATCTCTTTATAATCAACTATGTTATTTTACCACTAATATTAAAACATTTAAACAATTACGGATTTAAAGTTCTAAATGACAATCTATTGACCTGATAATTGACCAACGAGCCATTTGCATCAATCAATCAAGACAATAATTGTTAATAAACATAGAAGATATATAAATAGTAAAGAAATAAAAGAACACTGAAAATTATTTAAATCTCACAAGTCTTGAAGAACCAAAACTTCAATTATCCTTCAATTGGAAGAAAAGTATTTAGCTACTCATAATTAAAAGAATGCCTAAAGAAAATAGAAGAGAGAGAGATAGAGATAGATGTCCCTTTTTCTTGTGAATAATCTCCCTATTTATAACTCCATCTAATAATAGTTACCTTATCTAGATCAGGAAACTAATTAAAAGTAAATCCCACCAAAATAGGGAGTCTTGGCAAATCCTAGAGATTAAGAATGGGTAAATAAATCTTTCCAGCTGTCATGCATATCTTTTTCTCCTACAAATTCGTAACTCTAGGTCAAAAACCTCAGATCCAGTAAGGCGCACCTACGCTTCATCTGCTAACTGCTTTTATGAACATTCTGGGAAAACAGGACGTGCCCACGCTTTAAGCAAAATCCGCTTCTGGAATGTATCTCTTTTTGAGCTCCGATTTTTTCTCTCCAAAACTCTTGATTTTGAATTCAATCTGATTTAACTCCTCAATCTACTCCACAAAATACGAAACATAATCAAAATCCAAGATTTAAGCATTTATAACCATTAAAACATGAGGAAATATAACAAATATATAGATATTATTAATGCTTATCAGGTTCCTGTATTTGATTGTAAAATTAATCTTATGTTATGGCAAAGTACGATACAAGACCTTTTGGTACAACAAGGTCTTAATTAGGCATTAGAAGAGAGTAAGCCAGAGAAGATGTCTAATAGATAATGAAATAGAATTCAGAGGAGAGCTGTTAGTACAATCAGATTGGCCTTAGCTCTAGAGATAAAGTACAGCATGTTGACTGAGTCTACACCAAAGGGTTTGTGGGAAAAATTGGATGATATTTATGCATCGAAATCGTTGACTAACAGACTGTGTTTGAAGATGGATCTGTACTCTATGAAGATGGATGAAGGTACGAGTCTCCATGATCATTTAAATGAATTTAATAGGTTAGTCTCTCAATTGTTAGCTATTTTTGATGAGTTAAAGGATGAAGAAAATGCATTGATATTATTATCATCTTTGCCTAAATATTATAGACCTTTAGTTCAAACTTTGTTGGTAGGTAGATCTACTTTAAAATTAGATGATGCATCTGCCTTGTTGCGTGAGAATGAAAGGTTTATGGGATCAGAGAACTCATCACTTAGAGGAGATCTAGTAGTTGTAGAAGGTTCTAATCGAGGGAGAACTCAAAAGAGAGGTGATAAATCAAAAGTCATAGATTACAGTAATGAGGAGTGTTATAGTGTTATTATTGTGGAGAGAAGAGACATATCTAACCACGTTGCAAGAAATTAAAGAAGGATATGCTTGCTTTCAAGAAGGCTCAATAGATGAAGGATTCGAAGGATGATACCTGGGTTGCTAATAATGAAGGTGAACTTTTAGTAACATGTCCAGATGAAACTCAAATTTCAAAGGGTGAAAAAGGTTGCGTTTTAGATTCTACTGCATCCATGCATGTTTGTAATGATAAAGACTGTTTTGTTGAATTGAAAGAAGACGGAAATTATGGAAATATTGTTGTCGGTAATAAAGAGAAAGTGAAGATTGAAGAAGTTGGTAGCATTCATCTCAAGCTTCATAATGGTGTTGTCAAGAAGCTTCGTCATGGGAGGTATGTACCGAGTTGTAGTCACAATTTGATTTCTTTGGGTGAGTTGACTTCTCGTGGATAATACTTACATTAGTCAAAGAGATGGATGCGAAGTTTATAAAGATGATGTTCTGTTTTTGCAAGGCAAAAGGAATGAAAAACAACTATATTTGCTTGATGAAGGTGTATGTCTAAAGAAATCAAGAAATAAAATTGTTCAAGTTCCTGTTGTGAAAGAAAATAAGACTATCAAGCGAGTAAAATTTCCAGATGCTAATATGATGTTTGGGGATTCAAGTCAAGGGAGGAATTGTTGGGATTGTGCCTTGAATCCCATATTGTTTGGGAATGAGAGTTGCAAAGGGACTCTCCCCTTTAAATATACTAGTAGATTGGGTTTTTAAAATATTTCAAAAAGTGTAAAATAAACACTAAAAGAATAGTCATTGTGGGCCGGTGTAATTGGATTTTTTGGGATAGTGTAAGGAGTTTGCAATTTTTCTTTTCTAAAAATTGCATAGTTGTAAGTTTTTGTTTAGTGGATAGTGGACGTAAGCTAAATTGATTGGGTCAAACCACTTTAAAATTCATGTGTTTAGTTCGCTTTATTTTTAGTTGTTTGTTTTAATTTTGCGTTTGAGTCGTGGGAATCTTTTTCAACATTTTTTACCAAAAAAAAAATAAAAAAAAGGAAAAACAGATTCTTAATGGCACCCTTAATAGATTTACATGAGTTTCAATTAAGAAATGGTTAAAGTCAGAAGGAAAATTGAGTTGTTAAGAAAAATGGGTTTATTTTCTTATCATTTTCAGTTTCATTTTTGTTTTACTCTTGCAAAAAGACATTCAAACTGGTCCTGTAGAAATTGAGTTGAACAGTACAGTACACACCTTTATAGTTTATAAAGATATGAAATGTGCCCATTTCAATTAGTGGCAGAAATATCCCCTTACACTCAAATTTCTTTTATGCAGAAAGGAGATTCATTTTGCAAAAAATAACAAAAAAAGGAAACAAATCTATAGGAACCATCTCCTAAAACGTGATGGATATTGATGGATGCGACACACAAATGGCCTAAATCTTTATCCCAACAGCCTGTTGAAAGGAACTCGTAATAATAATGCAGTTTCAGTTAGTCTTTATAATGTTTTTTGTGTTAACCTGGTGGCATTACTCATCATTTACGTTCGTTTTGGCTGTGTTGTCGTCGGTATCTGATTCGTTGTGCTCATCTTCAACATCGGATGCATGCTCAGTTTTGCCTACGAGTAAGGAGATAAAACTCTTGTGATCTGCAGTTAGGGAGATCTACTTACTGATTGTATATTTTTACTGACTTATAGTTAATGGATTCTTATGTCACTGTTATGTGCCACCATGAGAGTTATGCTTTGGATGTAAATCAAAATGCTTGGTACCAGTCAGAATATGCTTTCCAATTTTTTGTTTTCTTTAATTTTACGTGTGAAACAAACATGGGGTGGCTTTTTAATAATAACAGCAGCACTTATTCTATTACCTTTGAATCTTGAAAATTACAGTCTTAAAGCTTATAATGTCACCATACTGAATTTTGACCAATTCTCACTGTGGGTTGGCCTAAAAGTTTGAAAAAAATGCCACCCCTACCGTTTTAATCTACAGTATTTCACATTTTACATAAGCAGAATGCTGTTTGGCAGGCCTGAAAGATGAGACTTTTGATAGTGCGCGAGGATCGATCTTCCTTGCTTCTAAAGTAACCAATATTCTGTAGGTCCCTGGAGGAAGATCTTGAAAGATTTCATATGAAATATCTGGCCAGACAGAATCACTTAAAACGTTTGGTGAAAGTTCCAATCCATGGAAGTTGAGCCACCAGAATATATATAACTCAAACAATGTGATCTTAAAACTTTGAGTGGGAGCTGCCGAACAATGGGTCATATTCACTTCACTTAAACCCTCTTGAGGGTAAAAGTTTAGATTCCTTTCATTCATCCTGATCGATTTCCGCCACAAATAAGTCTTTCAAGCCCGTGCTGTTGTTATCTTTATGCTTCAAAAAGTATTCCCTTCTTTCTTCTCTTCCTTTTTGACCAATGACCACCTCCTCCATGTGTACCAATGTGTGTTGGATAAGAGTGTGGCCTGGAATAAAGTTTTGTACATTTCTTTCAGAACTGGTTACATTGATCACAAAGGCTGCTAAACTTTAAGTTGTTTACTGTTGATGGGGCCTCCAGTGACTAATCATATGGCTGATATTTTGCTGACAAACGTATCTCACAAACTCTATCTCACAAACCAACATTGCACTTGAGATGAGTTAACATGTCAACTAACTACTTTGACTAAACATGAACAGTTGTTCCTTGTAATATAATGGTCATTTTTCATAAGGAACGACTATTCCTTATGAAAGAACAACCATTCCTTCATAAGAAATGACCATTCTTCCTTCATACATAGTCGTTCTTTCAAAGAACGACCCATTTTATAAAGAATGAATGATTGTTCCTTAGAGAGAAACAGTCATTCCTTTTGTGAACGGTCGTTTCTTGGGTCTAGTCAAAAACATTTTGTGTTTTGGGTGTGGTGGAGTTACCAACTCAACTGTCACGTCAAGGTTTGTGCGAGAAGTTTGTGAAATTCGTTTGTTAGCCTATCTTTTTTCCTAATTGAATTTACCCCACCGCAAACTCCTTTGGCAGTTAGGTCTAAAAAGCCAGCTTAGGCAAAGATTCATGACATTTGAATAACATCTAAGGCATGTGTAATCATGTAGAAACTAACATTTATCAATTAAAATTGATATTTTTTTTGCATCCTGCAGGTCATTTCAGCCATAACATCTTACATGCGTACTCATCTACAAGCTAACATTTTTCAATTAAAATTGATACACTTTGGCTTCCTATAGAAACCAAATTCAAGACACTGCTCTATATTCTTCACTTGTCATTATTCATCCCTTTTCAAGTTTCTCGTAGTCTATGACAGTCGATCAAGCTTACCTATATCAGTAACACTAACATTTTTCATAAACTTGACAAGGGATGAAAGTTCAAGAACTTCATATGTAAACTCTTTAAGCAATGAAAAATGCTAACAAATACGATAAAAAGACATGGGCAAAGAAGTATGGAAAAGACTATTTGGTGGGTTGATCTCATCGTCCATCATCCCATCATGTTTTGGATTGTTGGGGGCACCATACCAGTCTGATACATCTGCATATTATGACTCCTTACTACATTTCCATGCCATCCTACACAAACATATCAATATCACATGATTATTTTTCGAGGATTCTGAAAATTTTCTGGGAAAAGTTATGTGTTTGTTGTCTCTCTCTCTTTTTTTTTTTTTAAAACAGTTGAGAAAAATGACAATATCAACAACATCAATAAGCCTTAGGCCTTTACATGTACCTTATATTGGAATCTATTTGGTTAAAATTCCAGGATATAGATTTAACAAAATACTATGTTAATGCATTTGGATGCTAATTAAGTATCTTTCATTTCTTCTATTTTTTTTCTTTCTGTCATGCAATTGGATTGGTGATTATTGCATATACAAGGCACTACCATGAACAATATTTCACAAGTCATGATTCAGAATATTTACCTATTGAAGGGTCAAGTCCTCTGTTCTGAAGTTCCCTATACTCCTGACACAAAGCACAGTATTCGCAAAGGCAATGAGTGATCCAGTCTGGGGCAGGAGACTCAACCAGGTAATATCTGCTTCGAAGTTTTGTGCGATAAGTGCAAGACAGGAAACATGGACATCCAAATATACAAGCAATAGCGCCGTAAATCAACCCACTTACTGCACAGGCTGCATCAAACACAAGTGGGAAGAAAATAATTAAGCATCATATGGCAACACAATCTTCAACTGGTTACCCAAAAAAAAAGGCTAGATATTAGGACTAATAGCTCTGGGATTAGGAGTAACATGTGCTGCCACTGTCGACAATCTCTGCAACTTGTCCGAATGTCAAGCAAGGAATGCACAATGTCACAAGAGCTGAAAGCAAGTGAAATTTAACTAATTCAGCAATGTTCTCTTCACAAATAACTAATAAAAAATCAGATAAAAATGTCACACCATTCAAAGGATCGTCGAAGCAATCAAATAATCCAGTTGTCCAAGCAACCGTGTTTACGTTTGGAACATATACAATGCTTGGTTGCTGGAAAGGCACTTGATGCACAGGCACATATCGTGGTGCAGGCTGCGGATTTGATTGAATATTAACAGAGTGAAAATGGATGTTGCTCGGAATTGGCTGGTTTGGGTATTGACTTGGTTGATGAACCATGGAAGGAAATTGCACTGGTTGCATTGGCACATCAGGATTGTTCTGCGAACTTTGATGTTGAAATATCTGAGCATTAGGTATCTGAGAGTGAGATTCTGGTTGATCAATATTCTGAGGATCGGTCGAATTGAAAGGAGGTGCTGAAGCTGCTTCAGGACGTGCCATTTTCTTGAGGATACTGAAACCACAAAGGTCAACCCTTTCAGGATTTTTGATGATCTATGATAAACTCGGCCATTTGACGCTCAAAACAAAGTGCTTCTCTTGTTTTTGTCAGCCTAGCCGGCATTGCCATCCACGTCAATGCCTGTCAAGATCTTTCCCGGCAATTGAAAATGGAGTCGTGCCAATTAGAATTGAGTAAGTTTACATTTGTCAATTTCAGCATCCTATCATAACATGCATGCCCCCATCACTATCACATTCCACATTGTTGCCGTACGTAGTTGTCAATTAACATGAATCCAATATTTTTGTAACCTGGTATACGAGTTCAGATCAGGCCTATGGATTAACACTTGTTAAACAAGATCAAAATTTATAATAACAGCGGTGATTTTGTTTTGGATTAGATGAATCTATTAACATTGTACAGGAATGAGAGAATGAGTCTGAGCCTTACCATAAAATTCATGCAACAGCGAAAAGTTTCAGCCTTAGAAGCGAGATTGTGAGAAATTCCCATTAGATCCCACATCTTAAGAATTAAATTTGAAACCTTTGAAGGCATTAGCATTGTTGAAACCCAAGTAAAGGAATTTAGGCTCAAGAAGCAATAAACCAACTATTGTCCCCAGAACAATGACAAGTGCTATCAAACATATTGTGAAGATGTTTCTTTTGGCAAAATTTTGTACTTTATCAATCTCTCTAGGGCTGACACCGCCTGCCGCGGTGGTGGCAGCTCTACTGCCATTTGTTCTAGAAGTGCTCATTCCTTGTAAGTTAATAACTTCTCTGGGGCTCCCACTGCAGGTGGCAGTGGGCAACGCAGTGGAAGAGGAAGAGGAAAAGGAAGATCTACTGACATTTGATCTGGGAGTGCTCATCACTGCTCTGGGATTAATTGATCTTCAAAGATGGAATATGCAAATTAATTGTCTATATTAATGTTTAATCTTGATGTTTCATTATATTTAAATGGAGTAACCATTTGAAATATTCATAACAAATTTAGCCTTCCTATAGGTAGTTCCTCGTATAAAGCTTGACCAAGTGGAGTGATAAGCTCATCAGGACATCAGGATTAATTTTGTCCACTAATAGTTCTTTTACTGATTCAGTACCAGCATAAATAGCTTCAGCAAGCTTAAATTAAGCTCCGGACAGCTGTGATTAACAATTGGTCAGGAGCATAAGTAGTTCCAGGATAACACAATGTGTGTAATTATAACAAGCCTTCAATCCCAAGCGATTAGTCTGGTGATTAAAAAGGTTTGCTCTCTTCATTGACTTTCGGGGTTCAAACCATCTTGGAGCCACTTACCATATTTTTGATTTACTTGGAACATTGAACTTATAGGGTGTTCAATGGACTTCGGAGATTAATTGAGATACACGTAAGTTGGCCTGAACATCCCGACTATCTAAATAAATAAATAAATAACAGGCCTTCAAAGAAATGATTGGAACTTGAATTCAGCAAAGCCTTTGCCTTAGAGTAATGCATATTGTAATAATATGAAGTTGTCCACTTTCTTCAAATATCTATTCCATTTATAGCTAGGTGGATTATTACACTTAGGGGTGAAAGTGTTTATTTCCCAAACTTCAAGGAGTCGAGGATATTTGACTTAATGTTCATCTTGTAAATAAATTAGGAAATAATTAAAATTTGTGAAAATGATACATCCCAAGCTACAACTTTATTTCCAAAACTAAATCCATGCATTTCATTCTTTATAGAACTTTTAAGTTCTAAAATACCTTAAAATTGTCTCTTTCTTTTCGCTTGAGTTAAAACATATTTTATATAGTCATAATTTTATAATCTCCTTATTCATCATAGCTATTCATCGAACTTGCACATGTTTGTATAAATTTAATCCATCTATAACATAATATGTTGGTATTTTGAGGATCAACCTATTTATCATCTATTCCACTACATTAGGGCCCTAGGGGTTACACATGAAGGGTATTTAAGAGAAATGACAAAAGCTAATGCTCACATAGGGGTGAAAGTGTAGATTTCTCAACTTCCGAGGGAGTTCAGAGTATTTGACCCGATTTTTATGAGCTAAGTAGTAAAAATGAAACGTGGTAACATTCGCCCATCCTAAACATGAAACGACAGCGTTCTTTCTGAAGCAAAACGAAGCGTTTCATTCATTTTGAAGGAAAAATTTCCCTTTGAGTTCCAGAAAGCCCTAAAAAATCCTCTATTTCTTCTTGTTTGAGTTTCAGTTCAGTTCATGCACAAAACACAAACGCTCTTTAGCAACCAGTGAGCAGTAAACTTTCTACTTCTTTCGTAAAACAAAACAAAAGAAAAAAGTAAAGGAAGAGAAGAGGAGAGGAGAGAAGATGTCGCTTCGAGTACTGAACCCAAACGCTGAAGTGCTGAACAAATCAGCAGCACTTCACATGAACATTAACGCCGCCAAGGGCCTTCAAGATGTTCTCAAGACCAATCTAGGTCCCAAAGGCACCATCAAAATGTATGCTTTTGTTTCTTTTGGTTTTTTTTTTTTTTTCGATTTGGTTGTGAGTGTGTTTTCTCACGTTTTCTCACGTTTTCTAGGCTTGTTGGTGGAGCCGGAGACATCAAGCTCACTAAGGATGGAAATACGCTCTTGAAAGAAATGGTTAGTATTCTCTTTGAAAACCCTAGATCTTTACTCTGCATTTTTAGATTTTGGGATCTGGAAGTTGAATTATTATTTGGAGTATGTAATTGGCTAGGGATGAGGGATCTACTTTAATCGATTATTTATTTAGTTGGCTTTTGAAGTAGCAAAGAAGTATTTGACATTCTAAGTGCAGGGTTTTTATTTTATTTAGAAAATAATATTTACATGTATGTGGTTTGGTATTGAATTGGGCTGAGGAGTGAATGTGTTTACTGGTGTATTTTGTTTTAACTAGTCTTTGAACCTTGGAATCAAGATCTCTCTTCCTAATTTTTCGTTTTGTTGGCAATGCTTTTAAATAAAATTGCTGTTGAAATGGAAGTCTATGGAAAGCTGGATTGATGTGAATTTTATTATTATGTTATGGCAGAGTCTATTTGTAAATTAGTTAAATTTTTAAGGGAACTCCTTGCTCCATGTTTTTATTATTTTCTTGGTGATTATGGTGGCAATGCTTGCAGCAAATTCAAAACCCAACAGCTATCATGATTGCGAGGACAGCTGTTGCTCAAGATGATATTAGCGGAGATGGCACAACTTCGACGGTTATTTTTATTGGTGAGCTTATGAAACAATCAGAGCGCTATATTGATGAAGGTCAGTAGTTCTAGACTCTATTGGATTAGACAGGTTCTCTATTTTTTTTTTGGTGGCAGACACATTGTCTATTGTTGTTTTATCCTTTTTCAGAATAATTGATGTCTCTGCTCCATTTTTTTTTTTTGAAGTTGGTGATAGGTTTATTAAATGGTTTACTCACTCCAGCTTCTTAAATTACCGTTTCTTAGAATTGGTTTAGTGCTGGATTTTTCTGACACGGGATCGTTTTGTTTAAATTCAAGTTTTACTAGTTGAAATGGAAAATGTGGGAGGTTTTTGGTTGTAATTGCTGGGCACTTGGTTGTTATAAACAAGTAACACTTGTTTCTATGTTATATGTTGTTTGTGTTAGAATGGAGCATTTTGGCTGTCATTATTTCCATTTTTTGTTCAAAAGAAAATTTACAAATGTGCAGTGCTATGATAATCTTATGTATGGGACTTGTGTCTGTTTTAGGTATGCATCCACGTGTTTTGGTTGATGGTTTTGAGATTGCCAAAAGAGCGACTCTCCAATTTCTTGAAAAGTTCAAGACTCCTGTTGTGATGGGTGATGAGCCCGATAAAGAGATTCTGAAAATGGTTGCAAGAACAACAGTGAGAACAAAGGTATGTGTTAGTTTCTTTTTCATGTTTTGTTTATGTCTAATATAGTTTTCTCTTATTTATGGTTTAGTTCTTACTTTATTTTCTTCTCTACAGCTATATGAATCATTGGCAGACCAGTTGACTGACATAGTTGCTAATGCGGTTAGTGCACCTATTAGTCTGTTGGCTTTATTTGTAGAGTTGGGGGTAAACCTTTTGTATCTTTTTGTTTAATAGACTGGTTGAATATGGCAGGTGCTCTGCATTCGGAAGCCCGAGGAAGCAATTGATCTTTTTATGGTGGAAATAATGCACATGCGTCATAAGTTTGACGTGGACACACGTCTTGTATGTTGAAGTTCTTTAATTTTTTTGATGCATTGAAAATTTTCATGTTTTGCTACTCGGTCCTTTATGTTTGTTTTTATATTGAAAAATGTATTTTAGGACTGTCTTATGATTAAACTGCCTTCTCAAATCTTTATGAATAAATTTTGGATTTAATGCAGTAAATATCTAAGTTATTGTAATACAGAGGAAAAAAATCAGTTACTGTTTAGTTATGCCCATGCTGTCTCTTTGCCATTTTGATGTTACTGCTTAAACACTTAAGAGACAATTTGTTACTGTTAGGTTGTTTTTGGATGCTGGTTGTTTGTGGGTATCTTAGGGGTCTCAAAATATAAGCAACTATTTGAATGTTAGACTTAAATTGGACACTCTTTTTTTTTAATATCCTAATCAAACCTGCCTGTTCTTTTCTTTTTTTTTTTTTTTTTTAAATGCATTAAATCTTTTCATACTTAAATTTCTCTCTTTCTTTCCTTCTCTTCTCTCTCGCTCTCTGTTTATATTATTCTATTTCTCAATTCAGTTATGCTGTTTTCAGGTAGAGGGTCTTGTTCTTGATCATGGCTCTAGACATCCTGATATGAAGCGGCGGGCAGAGAACTGTTACATATTAACATGCAATGTGTCATTGGAATATGATAAAAGGTAGATATCTAGAAAGTATATATCCTTTTATTTTGTCAGTGTACTCTTTTGACATGATTTCATTTCCTTTTTGGCTTTACAATAAGGTTTATACATCTATATCCACATCTGCATACATAAAAATATATAAATGTTTTGCACAGTGTAAAAGTTCTGATGATAAAATTTGTTTGTTAAATCTTTACAGGAAAGAAAAGCAATTGTCTTAATAATCTTTTCAAAACGAAAGAAAAGCAATTGTCTTAATGATCTTTTCAGTTTTAAACCAATGAAATGAATGTCTAGGTTCTACTCATTACTTTTTCTTATAATTGACCACATTCTCCCACTTAGATCATTTTTAAGTTTTCTAGCTTGTGATTGTGGTTCCCCCACCCACTCGTTTGAACTTTTTTTTTCAATGTTCAGTTTTGCCTGATAAGCTATATATTTTACTGTAACTTTTGCATATTGAAATGCCAGTTGTATTAATTTGATCAAGGTTAGGATAGTGATAAACAAAACTTTCTGAAATCCGGCCATAGCCTGCAATTGTCTTTATGTAGATATTGTATATGGACATCCTAGAACTAATAATGTTGTATCCACCAGTGAAATAAATGCAGGCTTTTTCTACTCCAACGCAGAACAGAGAGAGGCAATGGTTGCAGCTGAAAGACGTCAGGTTGATGAAAGAGTCAAAAAGATTATTGAACTGAAAAATAAGGTACTGACTTCGAAATGATTTTTTTTTTTTTTTTTTTCTTTTTTGTGGAAAGTGTATGTGATATCGTTACGACAGATATTTGGCTCTATTGAAAAATTGTCTTCTATTTGATCATATGCAGGTTTGTTCAGATAATGACAACTTTGTTGTTATCAATCAAAAGGGTATTGATCCCCCATCATTAGACCTTCTTGCTAGAGCAGGGGTAAGTTATGAGCTGCTAATGATGTCCTAGGTCAATGGCTTTACTTGCAAAATGACAATTTATTATTTTAGTGGTTTTTCCATTCCTTTATTTTGTTTGCAATTTTCTAATTTAATGATTGTGCAGATAATTGCCCTTAGAAGAGCAAAGAGAAGAAATATGGAGCGATTGGTGTTGGCATGTGGAGGAGAAGCTGTAAATTCTGTTGATGATTTAACTCCTGATTGTCTTGGTTGGGCTGGACTCGTATATGAGCATGTCCTTGGTGAAGAGAAGTATACATTTGTAGAACAAGTGAAAAATCCTCATTCTTGTACAATTTTAATTAAAGGTACTAGAAATGTATTTGTTAATCTAACTTTCTACTAATTTTTAAAGTTTCATTTTTATTCTACAAATCAGCTAAATGATTAACTAATCAATATTTCTGATATCATTTGCATCATTTTATTTCCTTTTACGGCTATCATATCATCATTTTTATTTTTAAATGTTGTAGGACCTAACGACCATACAATTGCTCAAATTAAGGATGCTGTGCGTGATGGGTTGAGAGCAGTCAAAAATACCATTGAAGATGAAGCCGTTGTATTGGTAAGTTATGCTCAGTTGGTATTCTCTCAGAAATCTTATTAGTTGATTATGCCTTGAAATTGTGATCTATGATGGAGTATTGCTTTTCGTCTGTTCAATTTGCTTTAAACAGTTTGCTTAGATGATAGGTTTTGTATATATATTCCTAATATTTTATCAGATGAAAGTTGACTCATTAACTCATAGTTAAAGTTGAGGGACATAGCTGGCAGTTTGAGGGACGCACTTTCAGCCAAATTAATTGCTTTGTTCAACTGATTACTCTTATTTGACTGTTTAAGAAAAAGACTCTTAACGCATGTTTATTTAATCTGGTCATAAAATGTGGATTGCCTTGCTGCCCATAGGCTTTAGCTCAAATGGTGAAAGAGTGGGGTGGTGGCAGTGGGACCTATTTTAGGTGTTTATTTTACCAACTTTTCCCTTTGAAAAAATTATTCCTTGTTATTTGTGTACTTTTTTTTTTTTTTTGTTTTTTGATGGTGAGGTATGTTCCCAATTGTTGTTCAGGGGGCAGGAGCGTTTGAAGTTGCAGCCAGACAATACCTAGTCAATGAAGTGAAAAAGACTGTTCAAGGGGTATATTTTTTTAAATCTCCCTTCCTATAAGATTAAGTACAACAATGCTATCTTTTGAAATATTGTTAACGTCTACCAACTTGGAACAGCGTGCTCAATTGGGTGTTGAAGCTTTTGCTGATGCTCTTCTTGTTGTGCCTAAGACACTTGCTGAGAATGCTGGGCTTGACACTCAAGATGTGATCATTGCCCTCAAGGTATGCATACATCTTTTGCTCTTATGTTCCTTGGTTTTCTCCTTTTACGATATTAAGAGGAAAAAATATAGATTAATGGTGTTCTATTTCATCTTGATGTTTATTCAGGCGGAGCATGACAGAGGGAATGTTGTGGGATTAAACCAGCACTCAGGAGACCCTTTTGACCCCCAGATGGAGGGCATCTTTGACAACTACTCTGTGAAGCGTCAAATAATAAACTCAGGGTATGCGAGAATGTGTTTTATCATCACTCCCAACTTGTGGGCTGTCTTTTCTAAGTTTTTTTTTAAAGAAAGTGAGCCACATTAGTTTATTGCTGCTTCGGTGCATGGATTTTTGTGGTTGAGCAACAAACTTGCTACTCTATTTTGCAGGCCTGTAATTGCATCTCAGTTGCTATTGGTGGATGAAGTAATTCGTGCTGGTCGAAATATGCGGAAGCCAACTTAGCTTGTTGATGTACTTCAGCATATAATTTTTGTCATATGGAGGTTCTCTATTACTGTTCGGCTGTGTGTACTATGGGTAGCCATGAACTGACGGAATGTGAAAGAGGGTGGTTTTGTTTTGACAATTGTGAACCCAGGCGCCCATCAAAAACTTATTGAGAGAATCCCCATTTCTGTGTTCAGTTAATGAATGAAACTAATTTTTGTGCTATGTAGTGATTTAGCCAATTTTTCCACAATCTTGTTTTTATTTTTTCATCTCGCAGTTAAATTTCAGGTGTCTAGTAAATTATCTCTTGTATTTCCTTATATACTGCAGCATGCAAAAAATGGTATGTGGAAAATAGATGTGTTTTATGTCTTTTGAAGTGCTTGAAGATTCTTTTTTCTTTGGAAAGTGTCATTGATCAGTTTGCAATTCTATAATTCCAAAAGGGTAATATTACATTTATAATTCAATCTTATCAATTTTTTCTCACAATTCTGATGTAGTAGTTTGTAATTGATCAGTTTGCAAATGTGTTTGCTTACTTGTGGGTTTTGCCTTTTCAATTATAAGCTGTCGCATTGGAGTTGTGAAAAAAAATTAAAAAAAATTTATAAGATTGGATTGTGATCTTTATCCATTTTAGAATGAGTATATTTAGGGTTGGATAATGGTTGAATCTGGGAACTGATGGGAAAGCACTTGGAGATTGTTTTAAACGTTGTTTACTACCTACCTTTCTCGAGAAACCAATATTGATTTCATGGTTGCGGGCAAAAATCTTGTGAAGGGCAGGTTACACTATGGCATGAGATGAGAGTTTTGAGTCTACTGACTTTGATGATAAGAAAGTAAATCAATTCATATACATTATTTTCAATCGCTATTCATATACATTAATTGATCTAGTTATTCCCTCCTAGCTAGCATTGCTTTAAAACTCAGATTGGACCAGTTGATCAGACTAGGACCAGATCGATCGGTTGGACTAGGACCAGACTGATCGGACCAGATCTGATAGTCTCTCTGATCCGGTTTAAGTTTTAAGGTTTTTTTGATATTTTTCAAAGCTATAGGGACTACATTGTAATTTTTTGGGGATTTTTTGAAATATTTCAAAATTTTAGGAACTAATTGTAATTTAGGACATTTTTTAAATAAATTAAATTTTCAGAGCCAAATTTGCAATTTTGTACGGGTGTTTTTGTAATATACTAAAATTTAAGGAAATCTTTTGTAATTTTTTAAAAATATTTTTATTGTTGACATCATCGGTCCAACCCGTTAGACCGGTCAACCCGTGACCCGATCACCTTAACGGGTGTCACAATGAGTCAGGTTTAAAACAATGCTAACTAGTGAATAGCTAAGATGTCAACTTACAGTGCAAAGTATAGGGTCTAAACAAATTGTGTATTAAACATCAAGGTATTGTCCCAAAAAAAGAAAAATAAGTTTCACAAGTGCCATTGAAAAGAAGATCATTTTTACCACCAAAAACCTCCACAAATGCCAAAAAGTTAACACATAAATGTAGCTTGTATACCAGTGGAGACCAAACCAGTTTCATGGTAAATGACAGGAACCCCAGAAATATCTTATTAGCATACCAATTAAGAGAATTGAATCATACAGCACAAGCTCTATTGTGGGAATTCCATAATGGTATGGTTATGTTCTTTTGTCTAAGCATAATATTTTATCTTTTTGCTGCAATTTACTGCTTTCAGTATGGCTTGCTGTTTGTTTATGCTATTGTTGTTTTGTGCAGGATATTGCTTTGGCTGAACTTGCTCCTACTCACCCAATAATACTGGGACTGGCTCTTAATTCTCTGTGTTTTACTAGAAATCCTTAACTCACCTGATCGTGCTGCAATCTCGCTAAGCAGGTGTGTATACATAGCTACTTTAATCTTTTATATATGTTCTGTTTGGACAATCTGGGAAAAACATGGGATGATAGCTGTGCAGGAATTGTACCTCATAATGGTAAATTTGAGTTCCATTTTATTTTCGTGTTGTTCTGCACTTATTTATTTGATCTACGGCTGATAACTTGATATCACCTTTCTATGATATGATATTATTAACATTCAATTATTAAAACACCTTTTCAACACTCACTACAACATTACCCATGCAAGTGTTCATACAAAGTCTACGTATAAAGGGAAGATTGAATAGATAAAAACTAGATTGAAAAGAAATTAAGGTTATAATATACAATAAATAGGATCGAATGATTGACCATCCAAGAGTAAAATGCAGATCAATCTAGGGGGGTTAGCCAACGTTATTGTACTTGTTTAAGGTCTCAACACAAATAATGGTTAAATGTCGTGCGTGTTTGGCTAACTATTTTTATCTGTATTTTAGACCGGATTTTTGAAATTGTGTTTGTTTTATTACTTGAAGAATCAACCCTGATAATAGAATCCGACACAATCCTGACATTCTGACCGTTACATTTATTTTCTTTTTTTTTTTTCACTGCATCCTCACCATTTCACTTTCTTCTCCGTGCTTCGTTCTCATTCACTGCATCTCACCATTCACTTTCTTCCGTGCTTCAGTTCTCAATTCACATTACCGTTTTAGTGCTTCACTTTCTCAATATCCATCACCACCATTTCAGTTTCTGATAATCCATTACCAGGTTCGATGCTTCACTTCCCCGTTTGCATTACCAACTCCCTTTCCAGTTTCCAGTACCAGCACCGTGAACCCCAATGCCCTCTGTCACAAACTCACATTCTAACCCAACGTGAACCCACCGTCAACCCGGAAACCAGCCCACCCGAGCCTCCATGCACCACCAGACCGAGCTCTACCCCAACCCAGCCCACCCGAGCACCACGACCCGAGATCTACCCAACCCAGCCCACCCGAGCCACCACGCACACACACGACCCCAACCCAGCCCACCCGAGCCACCACGCACCACCACACACCCAACCCAGCCCACCGAGCCACCACGCAGCCATCCAAGCCACCCGCACCGAACTACCCACACAAGCCCACCCAAGCCACCACGACCCCAACCCAGCCCACCGAGCCACCCGCACCACCACGCACCCAACCCAGCCCACCCGAGCACCACGCAGCACACAGCCACCACGCACCGATCTACCCCACACAAGCCCACCCAAGCCACCACGCACCAGCACGACCCCAACCCAGCCACCCGAGCCACCACGCACCACCACGACCCAACCTAGCCCACCCGAGCCACCACGCACCCACCCGAGCCACACGCACCACCACGACCCCGATCTACCCCACACAAGCCCACCCAAGCCACCACGCACCACCACGACCCCAAGCAAGCCCACCCAAGCACCAAGCACCACCAACACCCAACCCAGCCACCTCGAGCCACCACGCACCCACCCCGAGCCACCACGATCTCCATCAAACCACACCCCAATCTCCATCAAAACCACATCATATCTGCGTAAAGACACCCACCGTCACTGCATTTTGAAACTGAATTTTTTCTTCAAAATAAATGCTTTTTTTGTGGAAAATGTGTCCACTAATAAAACAAACCCAAACCCACCTTATATGTATTAAAGCAATTGGGTTTTTTCGGCTTTTAATGGGTTTTTTTTGGGCAATTCTGTTTTATTTGGGATTTTGTTTTAATTAGTTTTATTTGATTAGGCAATTGGCATATATTGTTAATTCGGTTTTATTTATTCGGCAATTGGACAGGATTGTTTTAATTGGGTTTTTTGTTTTGTTTGACAGTTTTTAATCTCGTGTACACACGGATCCATTTAATTGTATTTGGATGTTTATCTGACTCAGAGAAGGGAAAGAGACTCACGACGTATCCAAATCAAGTTTGTAAGTTTCTGTATCTATTGTTTTTCAAGACACCGAGCCGCTATTTTTTTCAATTTTTTTTTTGGAAATAATTGTATTAGTATTTTTTTCTTTTTCATTAATTCTTTGAATTTGGACTTTAATAATGCGTTTTGTATGGTTAACTGAAATATTTTATTCGGTTTCACTAATTGATTTATTGTTTTATAGATTGACATCGTTCTTAATCGTACCCAGAAATTACGCTCATATGCATAGATGTCAGCATAATTATCTCGACGTCGCAGGATTGATATTACTGTAACAGAGGCGAAGTTGACGTTTTTCTAGAGTGGAGTTCGTCATACACCCTGTTGGTCGACAGTGTCTGTATTCTCCCCTGCATTGACGTCTTCAAGCGGGTCGGATCGAACGAGGTATACTTTTATATGTGTTTAGTTGATTATGTAACATGTGATATTATATTGGTAATGTGCTTGGTGATTCGTATGGTGCCCCAATGTTGTTTGTCCCTCACCGTACTGTCTTAGATGGGTGATTCTGTGGCTTGGTCTGTGAGACCCACAGATTTCTGGTCTTGTTATCTGAGCGGGCCAAAACTCACATGGTAATGCAATAAAAACAGCTGATTACCAAGAAATGTTGGACGACATATCATCATGGCTGGCAGGAGATCAACGTGACGCAATTAGCGTCTAAGTTCTTTCGCCTGCGAAAACTTTTCAAGCATTGCGGAAATTGCTGCAACACACAGATTCGGGTGGGATCAGGAGTACAAAGTCCAACGTGTCCCGTTGAGGTTTGGCAAGAATTGTCCAGGTAAATTATCATATTTTTAACTATTATTATTCAACGTCTTGTAAATATACGCATTTTTTCGGACTGCAAATATTAATATATTATTCGTTTAACTTATCAGCAAAACCCACTGGCGCAACAATTTTACCACAAGGGACTCCCCACAAGGAACTTTATGAATAATATTTGGAGAAGAAACTGCCACTGAAGATATGCGTACACATCTCATCCCAACAGGTGGAGCCCTCCAGTTATCCAATCCCGGCTCGGTTCCTATGGATGATAGCGACTTTGAACCGATCCTGATCATTGACAGGGGGAAAAACGGCCAAACACATGGTCATGGAGGAGCGAGAATCGGAGGCATAGAAGGGGGCCGGACATACAATTGCGGATGCCATTTTTAGCTTGAGGGATGAGCTTGCGAAAAAGCGGACAATGGGATCCAGGGCTTCCGATCGTCCTAG